TTGCACGACCCGGAAATCAAAATCAAATTCATTTTATAATTCCAAAGTCGTTGCATAAAATAGATATGATACATATAATTACATCAAGTAAATGGCAATCAGTAGAAAAAAGAAACATTTTTTTTCTTTGTCTGGCTTTATTTTTCACATTGTTTTTATAATATGGCTGTGTTTGTTTTTTTTTTTTTTAAATCAACACATCTTAACAGATTGCACCCAGTGTGATAATATTGTCATCACTTAATATAAAAACTTATAATTACCTCTAATATTGTTATAACACAGACATATTTATTGCACTTATCCATGAACTACATTTTTTTATGGCATAAGCCGGTTAACGAGCAGACGGATCACCTGATGGTAAGCAATCGGTGTCGCCCATGGACACCTGGAACACCAGAAGAGTTACAAGTGCGTTACCGGCCTTTTGGGGATTAAGAGTTTGAGGATCGTTGGGAATTCAGGGATTGGAGAGATTAGGGAAGGGGAAGGTAATTGGGCCTCCGGTAACCTCACTCACACGACGAAACACAACGCAAGCGTTGCTTTACGTCGGTTTTCTGTGAGGCCGTGATATCAGTCCGGTCGAGCCGGCCCATTCGTGCCGAAGCATGGCTCTCCCACACTTGAAAATAAATAAATGCTCCTAAAAATAAACCATATTAGTCTGATCTTAAAATCTAACCTCTTATATAAGTCAAAATCATTTATTTAAATTCTAAAAGGAAGAGACTATTGAACGTTAACAACGGTAGGTTTTTTTAAGGGGTGAAAATTATCGAATAACTGCTCCCGCCTGGGTGAGGCGGGAGGGAAACAAGGGAAGGTTTTTTGTTATCTGCGCGATTGGTGCGGTGGTTGGGCAACTGGCTGTCGAGCAATGTGTCGCAGGTTCGATTCCCGTACGGAACAACTCTTTGTGTGACACAGATTGTTGTTCCGGGTCTGGGTGTCATGTGTATGTGAACTTGTATGTTTGTAAACGTTCCCACGACACTGGAGAAAATCCTTAAAGAAACAAAAAGAATTAAAAGTGAAGCTATTTCAGGTGTAGATTCCTATGGAGAAGAATGAGCAAGAAACTCCCTTTAACAATACAAACTTCGATCCCTATTTCTTACCAAACAACTCGGTTCCAACATAGCAAATATAGAGGCGAATGGATTTAGCATATAGATTAAAAATAGCAGGCCAACCCCTCAACGGTGACGGCATCCTAATATCTCCATCACTGCCAGAACGTGACTTAGATAGAGATGCATAATTATTTTTTAATACTTTATCGTTGTCCCTTACTTATTTGTTAGGAGTGACAAGGATGGGGGAAAATTTTGATGCATGCATATGTGTGTCTCTAGTAGTTAGGTAAAAACTTTTTACTTTAATGAATGCCTCGTTGGCCGAATGGTTACAAGTGTGGCTGCAAAGGAGTCTCGGATACAATTCCCGGGTCTGGCAAAGTTCGATTACTGGGTTTTAAAAAATTCTCAGTAGTAGCGCGGAGTCTGATAATGTACCCGGTATATGGTAATAGGCTGACCCCCTATTACGTGGAACTCATAACATATATAGTGAAAAGTGGGTGTTACACTTCTTCTTTAAGAGAACTCTTAAAGCTACTTCTTAAACAGAAGTCATCAAATGACTGATGATGGTGTGCATTTATGCATTCTCTACAGGTGCAGCATAACTGTGGAATGATCTGTCGTCGGCGGTATTCCCGAACCGATCACACCTTTAAGAAAAGAGCGTATTCCTTTTTAAAAGCATGCAGCACCTGTGGCTCCTCTGATGTTGCAGGATCCATAGGCGGTGCTGATCGCTTGCCATCAGGAGATCCGTGTGGTCGTTTGCCTCTATAAAAAATTAGGTTTTCGAACACCTAAAAAGCTCGACAGTCCATTAAACCCAGGAATGAATCCCAATACCACTTATACGACTCAGTAGTCGTACCTACAAAACGACAACATATGTACGAATTCGAGACATTTTTTTTATTTTTTGAAAATATATTTACCTACATCTAAAACTTGTATTTAAATATTTCGAACTTGACGTCATACAAGGGCATTATTTTAAAGAGTGTTCACATTTACGATGGCAAAATTTTGGATTTTTTTTAAGAAAATCATCGAATAACTGCTCCCCTCCTCGCAACCCAGCCATCGCGAAGGACACACCGGGCGTCGGCCTCAACCAGGCGGGAGCAGTCATTCGATGATTTTCCCCCTTAAAAAAAAAAAAAGACCTCTTGCCCGGCAGTCGCACTTGCGACCACACGGCCCATGAGGCAGGCAGTGTGGTGTATAATAATGCATATATAAATATAAATAAATAAATAAAGCCTGACCAGAGCTGTGGATAACCAAACGGGTTACCGGGGCTTCAGTCGAAAGTATGAGTAGAAAAGGGGTGGGTTGTAGTTAGTAAATAGTAAGTCTGACACTCACTCTCGCCTCACCTAAGGCGAGAGAATTCAAAACTGACTTTCCCCCATTAAAAACAAGGTATACTTCGCCTCGCGTGCCGATGTAAACGCTCCCTAATTTTTTTACCTCTATAAGTCTTCCGTTACGTAGACTTGACTTTTAAATAATATTTTAATTTTGATACTCTGTTTATTTGAGAAACAGAAGACATGTGATACAGTTCTCAGTGTATATTTATTATATTGAAAAATGTGGATTTTCGCTTTGGTTTTTATTTTATTTTCTGGTAAGTAATTACTATTTTATTTTAAAGTTCAACATTTAAAATTCATTTATTGACATTTAAACTGTCAAACACCAAGCGGTCACCGGTGACCGCGACCTATTGTTCTTTAATTGTGTCTATAAAACCGGTACTCGACGAGTTAAATAAAGTTATGAGTGTGTAAGAGTGCTTTCTAAGATTATTTAGACACGACTGACCAACGGTGAAGGAAAACATCGTGAGGAAACCTGGGCTTATATTTTCTAATTATAAGTTCGAAATCGCCAATCCGTATTGAGCAAGCGTGGTGATTAATGCTCAAACCTCCGTGTGAGAAGAGGCTTTGATCAGCAGTGGGCACTTATAGGCTGTTGATGATGATGATGATGATGAGATAGAGTTATTATTACATTTGATGGTTTTTATATTACATTCTTTGTTCATATAGTCTATTTAGCCTGCTTAGGACATTTAAAGTTAAGCTTAGGTATGTACATTTAAATAGGAAAGGAACAGGTATACATAATTATAATCAACTAGCAGCCCGTCCCGGCTTCGCACGGGGTAGACAATTATTTATTTTTGGAAATTTGAATTGTTATAGTGACATAACTACAATAGTTGGACATATGCTACCGCGGAGTTTTTTGTAGACATTATGATGTTCTTCAATATTGTTGTACATTATTTTGTTCTATCGCTAATAGTTTCGGCAGCGCATTCGACGAAAGACATTTTAAGACTCATTTTTCTACACCTTCGGTTACATTGTTCAAATTTTACCAAGGATCCAATATTATAATTATATACTTATATATTATAATTTCATTAAAACAACGTTCAATAAGAAGCAATAAAACCTGTTCCAGATGTAAAATACAATTTGTTGTTGATTAACATTTGAAGTGTCGCAACGCAGATCTTCTCGAGATACAATGTGTGTTCTATTATGTCTCATATACATATTGAAAGACAAGAGTTTCACCGCTTAAGACTAGAAGGCCAAGCACGAACAACTATCGCATTCGTATCGTAATAGTATCGAGCGAGTTAAGCGTTCTGATTGGTTGGTTCACTTGAGCCGGCCAATCAGAGCGCCGAACGCGCTCGATACTATTACGTTACGAATGCGATAGTTATTCGTGCTTGGCACTCAGAGGCCTTAGTACGAGTGTGTTTTACGTTTAACCCGTTGAAATCCATCCCCTAAATTTGTTCATACAAAAGTAGTCTCTAAACATTGGAAATAAGGTCTATTATGTAATGTAATATTAGTGGAGAGTGGTCACCGGTGACCGCTTGAGGATCTATGGGTTAAAGTATTCGTAATGAGTACGCGTTCGCCGCTCTGATTGGCCGGCTCCAATGAAGCAACCAATCACAGCGCCGAACGCGTACTCGTTACGAACTCGTACTAAAAGCCTTTGAGCTTGAACTAAATATGATAATTATGTTTTTTGTGGTTTATTGTAGTTGTAGGGACATAAATAAGACACAATTTTTTTGTATATTTTATTTTATTAATGTAAGTAGATGTGTACCATTAAAACAAGACGACAATTACACGATAAAAAAAACTTTAAAACTTACCTTTCGCACGTTAGTCCAATAATTCAGAAATAAAATTCAAGAAAAAAATCGCACTTAACTAAACAATTTGAATTTTTACGGAAATTCTAATACTACAAGTAGCGGTCACTTCGAAAAAATTTCGACGAGTAATTTCAATTCATTTTTCTCCGCGACACCACCTATCGAAACACTATCAACTATAGTAACTCATTCATGTAGGTACTAAAAGCACCAAAAGACGTCGCTACTAGTTTTAACTTTAATAAATAATAATTGAAGGTGCACATTATGTGTGCCCACGGTCTCAAGAGGGTAAGGCCTTTCTGTATCACAATTATTGTCTTACAGAAAGGCGTCATACGGTCAAAATCGATTACTTACTAAAATAAGAATAACATAACATAACAACACGCCTTTTATCCCCGAAGGGGTAGGCAGAAGTGTACCTAATGCCACTGTACAATGTAACACCCACTTTTCACTATTTATGTTATGAGTCCCATGCACAGATATAATAATATTTCTGTGATAGGGGGTGAGCCTATTGCCATATACCGGGCACATTGCCAGACTCCGTGCTACTACTGTGAATTTTTTGTAAAACCCGGTAGTACTTTGCACGACCCGGGAATCGAACCTGAGACCCTTTGCCCGGCAGTCGCCCTTGCGACCACTCGGCCAATGAGGCAGTTAATTACTTACTCTTGGCATTAAATAGCAATCGTAAAATAGTTTATTTTATTTTTTTTATTTATATTTAATTGCAGGTCACGTGTATTCCCAAGATATCAACAAGCTACAAGCAGACACATTCATAGATTCGTTGGCACACAAACTGAAGCTCGAACAGTGGGAGAAAGATGAAGCGCCGTGTTTGGAAAGTGTTTTAAATGTTTTGGAAAACGTGAAGAATCACACTTTGTGGGCGACATGGAGTAAGTCACAATTTGTCGTTTTATTGGAAGAAGGTTTGCTGCCAAACGCTACTTTACTGAACTGGCTCAACCTATGTTATGACATAACATCATAACATCACGCCTTTTATCCCCGAAGGGGTAGGGGTGCACATTATGCCACTGTATAATGTAACATCTACTTTTCACTATTTATGTTGAGTCCCATGTAATAGCGGGTGAGCCTATTGCCATTTACCGGGCACATTTCCAGACTCCGTGCTACTACTGAGATTTTTAAAAACCCAGTAATACTTTGCTCGAACCGGGAATCGAACCCGAGACCTCTTACCCAGCAGTCGCACTTGCGTCCACTCGGCCAACGAGGCAGTCCTATAAATTATTACCTATAATTTTTATTCCAGTGTGGAATGCCAACGCCCTTCCTACAGGCAATCTGTACGGTTCCGTACGACATTACGCAAGTTACGACCAATGTCTCAAACCACCATGGTTGCATACCCATCCACAATTGAAGACCAAATACTGTTTCACCGACTTTCTACTTTCCGATGAAAGCGACTCCAAAAAAGTGGCAGAGTACAACCCTTTTGGGCCGACTCTTGCGTACATAAATGTGAGTATAAGTACGTTTAAGCGTTTAAGAGCCATGCTTCGGCACGAATAGGCCGGCTCGACCGGAATGATACCACGGCCGAGTAGAAAACCGACGTCATAATCAAAACATCAAGACAGCATAATCAACCGCATTTATAAAATATAATGGCTGACATTTGAACACTTCTCGTTTCAGTCACCATCGATATCGGGTGCGTCTCGGAATAACATCTTGTGGGGTGTATGTATACCAGCGTCCTGCTTATCTTCAGCAGTCTCCAAGTTGAGCAGGGTGGTGTATGAGGCTGCCACCTTCAGCAGCATAGCGTCTGACGTCACGGTTAAACACTGCCAGGAGGCTGGGGAAAGCCCGCCTTTTTCCGTTGGGTTTTATATCTTCATGTAAGTAACCAAGTTGGATGCAAATTTCGAGTTCAGCTGCACGCTTACGTGCTTCAGAGAGGCCTCGCAGACTGCCCTGTTGGCCGAGTGGTCGCAAGTGCGACTGCCGGGCAAGGGCTCTCGGGATCGATTCCAAGGTCGGGCTCATCATCGCTTACCACCAGGCGAGACTGTGGTCAACTGCCAACCTATCTAGTATAAAAAAGTATAAATAGGTTTTAAAAAAAAATCTCAGTAGTAGCACGGGGTCTGGAATTGTGCCCGGTATATAGCAATAGGCTCGCCCCCTATTACATGGGACTCATAACATAAATAGTGAAAAGTGGGTGTTACATTGTACAGTGGTATTAAGTGCTGTAATGTGCACCTCGGTCTACCCCTTCGGGGATAAATCTTATGATTACCTACTTATTTTTTATTCACAGAGTATTGGTCCTGTTACTGATAGCAATTGCTGTGGCTTCTACCTATTATCGGAAACATGTACCAGCTGACGACCAGTCATCAAACCGATTAAGTAAGAATTTTTTTTTCATACAGAAATATAGACCGATTTTCGTCAACCTATTAAGTATAACATAACATAACATCACGCCTTTTATCCCCGAAGGGGTAGGTAGAGGTGCACATTATACCCCTACAATTTTCGAAAGTTCCCCTTGGTTTCCCTAGGATTCCTTCATCAGATCCTAACCTCATAGAAATGGGACCATCTCGGGAGTATACCCTTTCAAACAAAACAATAATTTTGGAAATCGGTTCACAAATGGCGAAGTAATCGGCGAACAAACAAAAAAAAAACGAAAAAGCCGAACATAATACCTCCTCCTTTTTTGAAGTCTGTTAAAAACCATTATTTTATTATTACAAAATGACACTCCAATATTTTTTTATCTGTATAGATCACGATGATCATTATGATAGCGTTGGTTACTCCTCACTAATCTCTAAGAATATGTGTAAATTATTGAAATATGAACCTTATATTCCAGTAAAAATCATAACAACATCTTTCTGCATGGTCAAGAATCGAGAAGCTTTAGTAAAGGTCAATAAGGACGAGATTCGTGTGATGAACGGCATCAGATTCCTGTCCGCAGTCTGCATCGTGATTTTGCATGTGGTGTTTTATATGGCATTATCTGGTTTAAGCAATTTAAGGGATATTGATTTGGTAAGTCAACAAATGGTTGTATTCATTTCCGTTCGATTTTTATTCACATTATCCCTAAATTCCCAACAATTCTCAAATTCCTAATCCCAAAAGGCCGGTAATGCACTTGTAACGCCTTTGGTGTTCCAGGTGTCCATGGACGACGCCGATTGCTTACCATCAGGTCTGGCCGTGATCCGTCTGCTCGTTTACCGGCTTATGCCATAAAAAAAAACAATACATTCTAATAATTAGCTCACAATCGAAGCCAAGGATACACTGGGAGACAAATGTAATGTGCCAGGGCACGTATTGGCGACTGTAAAGCGAAGCCTGCGGATTTCAGCCGACATATTTTGAGGCGACAACACCGCGCCTTATGGCATAATCCGGTAAACGAGCAGACGGATCACCTGATGGTAAGCAATCGGCGTCGCCCATGGACACCTGGAACACCAGAGGCGTTACAAGTGCGTTACCGGCCTTTTGGGTATTAGGACCTTGAGGATCGTTGGGGATTCAGGGATTGGGGAGATTGGGGAAGGGGAGGGTAATTGGGCCTCCGGTAACCTCACTCACACGACGAAACACAACGCAAACGTTACTTCACGTCGGTTTTCTTTGAGGCCGTGGTATCACTCCGGTCGACCCGGCCCATTCGTGCCGAAGCATGGCTCACCCACCCTAAAATTATTAATTATATTGTTGTATTGTTTGCAAAAATTTTCAGTATTTGGAAGGCATTGGTGGAATATTTTTTCACTACGATCTGATCGTGGACACATTCTTCACTATATCTGGTCTACTTCACATGAAAGGTCTACTGAACAGACGGCAAAATCTATTTGGTGTACTTTGGAAACGTTACATTAGGTAAGCACATCTGATATATCGTTATTTATTAAGAAAGTTAAGTTTTTTAATGACAAGTTACGGTGTTGTAAGTTTATTTAGGAATACTTTTAAACTTTGGAAAATACTTCGGAAATACTTTGATAATATTAGCATTTAATATTTAATTACTTTGGTTAATATGTACTTTCTAATGCATGTCTAATGTTATAAAAGACAAAGTTACATGCCATGCCCCAAATATTGTCCTGTTTTTGATGAATTTTGGCAAACAGATATTTTGAAATGTACCTGGTTTTAATTTGTGATATTTTTTATCAATAATACCTATTTAATTATAATGGGGTAAAAATATAACAACCGAAGTAGGGATGTAGAATATTTATATGAATATAATCTACATTTGTTTATTTTAAATAAATTACTGCGCCTGATTAAGATTGTTAGGAAATTTAACTCCACAGAGATTTGCTCATCGAACGTAATCAGGCGATCGTACTTCTTGCTGTAGTTTTAACCCTATATATTATCACTGCGAGGACCGCCTTGAGGACATGGTGGAACACACAGGGGGAGAATGCCCTGCGTGGGCTGAGCACCGCCGTGCCTTCAGGGAAGTGATCGGCGACGGCGACCTCTCGCGTCCGGGCCTAGTGCACGCTATGATGCGGAGCGAGGGGGACTGGGATGCCGTCTCCTCCTTTTGCGAAGCAGTCATGCTAGCTAAGGAGGAGGCGGGACGCGTAAGGCAGCGAAGCGCTGCCTTCTCGCAACCCAGCCATCGCGAAGGACACACCGGGCGTCGGGAATCGCGGGACGATCTCCGGCCACCGTAAGCGCGGGCCTGCGGACGGCGAGCATGGGTGGCTCCCCGTCCGACCAGAAACAGACCCGAGCGTACGGCGCGTCGCGTTCAGCGCGCGCCTCAAAGAACCATCAGACCCCCACAGGTGGGGCCCAATAGGGCCGATGCCGATTCGGAGTCGCGGAGAACCTAACGGGTAAGCGGGGCTCCGGCTCGACGTGCAGGAGAAGGAACGGGGTGGTTTTTAGTCAGTAAGAGTCTGACACTCCCTCCCGCCTCACACAATCATTCGATGATTTTCCCTCCTTAAAAAAAAACAAACCCCAAACATTTTAATATAATTATATTACTATAAAGTATTACTGGGTTTTAAAAAAATCTCAGTAGTAACACGGAGTCTGGAATTGTGCCTGATATATGGCAATAGGCTCACCCCCTATTACATGGGACTCATAACATAAATAGTGAAAAGTGGATGTTACATTGTATAGTGTTGTTATGTTATATATGTCGTGTTAGTCACTCTATATTTAAAAACTCTAGAATGATTGAATAGATTTGACTGAAAATTGGAGGGGAGATAGCTTAAAACAAAGAGGATACTTCTATTCAAGATTTCCCAAAAATTGTACAGGTATGGGAAAATACGGGATTGCGTATACGAAATCGTGGGCAGAAGCCACATAGTACTATTGTATTTGCTTGAACGCTAATCTCAGAAAATAGTGGTACGATATAAAAAAAAATTTGTTGTGGTTAAAAATTCGAGGAAGTTTTTGTATTTTTCCCCAAAAAGCTAAGCGCCTATTAAAGGTTTCCTCCGTCAACAAAAACAAGGACCTTTGTCTCCTGGTGTATCCTTAGCTTAATCAAGCAGAATAATACATTATTTGTTACAGATTAATAGGGCCCTTCGCGCTAATCGTCTTCTATATAATATCCGTGTCCGAGCACTTTAGTCCCGGTCCGGGCTGGTTCGGATGGGAGGAGACAAGCATTTGCGAGAATTACTGGCTACAAAACTTGTTCATGATAAATTTGGAAATAGGGCAGATTGTGAGTAAACATCATTTGTTATTCTTTTTTTTTTAAACATAGCCCCACACTAAGATTTTCTCCTGTGTCGTGGGTGCGTTTACAAACATGCAAGTTCACATGCACATTATGACACTCAGACCCGGAACAACAATCTGTGGATCACACAAAGAGTTGTTCCGTGCGAGTATCGACGCCGCGACACGTTGCGTGGCAGCCAGTTGCCCAGCCATCGCGCCGTGTGCAGTCAAGCAATTCATTATTTTAATTCTGTTACATCATTGCTCACGTCACTTGTCCATCTTTTTTTTAAATCAAAGTTAAATTAAAATCATTTATTTCAATTAGACCAGGAAGGCACTTTTGAACGTCAACAAAACTTCAAAGTGAAGCTGGTTGCTCATTCGAAGATGTAGAGGTAGATTCCTATGGAGAAGAACGAGCAAGAAACTACCTACTTCTTTCTGTGCTTTCCGTCTATACCTTAACCTTTAGTTCAGCTGCCTTATGCCTTATCTTTGACTTTCCAATTTCTTCTGATATTCCAACTGACACCATTTTCTCCAACATGTATGTACATTTCTGTTCTTTGCCTCATTAGCCGAGTGGTCGCTAGTGCTACTGCCGGGCCGACCCCTTGTCTTGGGTTCGGTTCCCGGGTCGGGCAAAGTATTACTGGGTTTTTTAACAGTTCTCAGTGGTAGCACGGAGTTTGGAATCGTGCCCGGTATATGGCAATAGGCTCACTCCCTATTACATGGGACTCATAACATAAATATTGAAAAGTGGGTGTTACATTGTACAGTGGCATAATGTCCACCTTTGTCTACCTCTTCGGGTATAAAAGGCGTGAAGTTATGATGTTATGTATGTACATTTCTTACATATTTTTTATCATCACTATATTTCAAATTAAGCAACCTATTAAGGTTAAGTGATAAAACAAGGAGTATTGTGTACAATCAAATTGATCTATATATAGAGGTATAAAAGAAAGTCGTGTTAGTTACACTATTTATAACTCAAGAACGCCTCAATCGATTTAGATAAAATTGGTAGGGAGGTAGCTTAGAATCAGGAGACGGACATAGAATACTTTTTATACAATACTTTTTTTACTTTTTACCGAAAATCACGGGGGGAAAATGGGATTGCGCGTACGAAGTCGCGGGCAGAAGCTAGTATATAATAAAATAATTATATTATGTTCCTTGCAGTGTCATGCAGTGAGTTGGTACGTGTGCTGCGACTACCAGCTAGCAATCCTGGCGACTGTCCTCTTCTTCTTTTATAAGCTGAACAAGATTTCTGGCTACACAGTTTATATAGCTGTGGCAATATTGTCCATGGTCATTCCTGGTGTGCTGACGTATTTGTTGCAAATGCCTGCGATGCCTTATATGGAATATGGGTAAGACAATAACATTTCGTATTTTTTTTATGGCATAAGCCGGTAAACGAGCCGACGGATCACCTGATGGTAAGCTATCGGCATCGCGCATGGACACCTGGAACACCAGAGGCGTTATAAGTGCGTTACCGGCCTTTTGGGATTAGGAATTTAAGGATTCGGGGATTGGGGGAGGGGATTGGGCCTCCGGTGACCTCACTCATACGACGAAACATAATGCAAGCGTTATTTCACGTCGGTCTTCTGAGAAGCCGTGGTATCACTCCGGTCGAACCGGCCTGTTCGTGTCGAAGCATGGCTCTCACAGACATGGTCCGGAATAACACGTAGCTACTTTTTATCCCACGGGAATGCAGGCGAAGCCGCGGCTTGAAGCTAGTATAATAATAAGGTAGACTTTGGCTACTAATATTGAGCATAACACACGACGACGTTTTTATAAACACATTTCATCTTTTTTCTCTCCTCTTATAATATCTTCTGATTCACTTCGTTGCAAAATCAAAATATTTCAAGGTACTTTTGAACGTCAACAAAAAGAAATTGAAAGTAAAGCTATTTGCTCATTCCAAGGTATAGATTCTAATGGAGAAGAACGAGTATGAAACTCCATAGGTTACTCTTTTTCAATCAGGTTCACAATACAATTCTCTAGTTACCGCGTTGCGGGAACCAAGTCAGTTATTCATGTCCCTGGGACGCGCCGGACTTCAGCGTCCCGGTGTTTTTATGGTTGTATCTACTGTAGATCCTGGCTTACAGGAGTTGCAGCGGTTTTGGGAGGTAGTGGTGGGCTTGTCCTAATAAAAAAAAACATTTCTTTCAGTAAGTATATACTCCGATTCCGCGAGATTTGGCAGTTCAACCACATTTACATATCGTTCTACGGTCGCGGTGGCCCGTATGTCGTGGGCATCGCCATGGGATACATCATGGGCATCTACAAACCTGCTGACTACAGAAAATCTGTTACTAAAGTAAGTTTTCGTGACGACTCTAATAAACTTTCTATTCGTTATTTAAAGTTGTAGTAAATTGGGATTATTTTTTGTTGCATAATAATTTTCCTAAAATACTTTCCTATTCTGACATGTATTATGAATGCAATATTTTATGTGTATTTACATGATTTAGTGATAAGAATTGAGTTAAGTTACTTTTAAATATAAACATAAACACTTAGACACTTTGGCAATGCGTAAAGATGCTTCACTGCGCATCTTTTATCACTTATACTCTAAGGAATTATTTGGTCTGATACCTGCCGCGTCTTTTAGCCACTGTCCCACATGACAACATTTTTTACCCCCGTCATATCGAATTATAGCAGGCCACAAGTGTGCTCTTTTCCCAGTACTTTCTGCCTCGCATACCCAAACTGTGGAATAATTTGTCGCCGGCGGTATTTCCGAACCGATACGACCTTCAAACCTGTGTATCCTCTGGTGTTTCCGAGTGTCCATGGGTTCCGCTGATCGCTTACCATTAGATGATCCGTCTGCCCGTTTGTCTCCTATTCCATAAATAACCCGAGCGTACGGGGTGTACGAGTGATCAGACCACCACGGATTTGGCCCAATAGGGCTGATTCGGAGAACCTAACGGGTTATCGGGGCTCCGGCTCGAAGTGCAGGAGCAAAGAACGGGGTGGTTGTTAGTCAGTAAGAGTCTGACACTCCGTCCCGCGTCACCCAGGCGGGAGCAGTCATTCGATGATTTTCTCCCCTTAAAAATCCATAAAAAAAGAACTATAAATAAATTATTTTTAATAATTTTCATAATTCCAGACTTGGTCAATAATCACCATGGCGGTGAGCCTGAGTGGACTGGCAGTCATGATGGCTCTCGGCTACATAATAATCAATTTTATTCCACTGGAACCTGGCGTCGTTGCTGGTACCAGCAGAATAATATGGGCTGCGGCCATCTGTGGTGTTGTAGGGATGTGTGAATATGGAACTGTTCGTAAGTACACGAGAAAAACTCTATCTTTTACATCAAAACATTTATAGTGTAACATTTTTTTATATGTTTTTTATTCTCCATAAAAACCTTCACAGATTTTCCAAATTCAAATTTTAATGTTTGATAACCGAAATATTTCGTGCAACACATTTAGGAAATCATTTATAGAATGTGAGATGTCGACCTTCGTTAGATTAATCTACATCAACAAAGCTATTACTGAATGATGTATGTGCTTGATATCTATTTGACATTTATAACTTTATTCTTTTTTACAATCACTTATGATGCCTAATTTTTATTTTAATGTCCGTCTGGTAGATTATTTTAAATTATTAGAAACGTATTTTTAATTTTCTTACATATATTGATTTGAAATGTCGCGTGACGTCCCTTCTATGTACATTTTATACGTAGAAATGACGTTTTAGCCCCCACTCCTAAACTTTGATTCGTTTTATCTAAGTATTGTTTTATTATACGACTAGCGGCCCGTCCCGGCTTCGCACGGGGGGACTTAAGATTTTTTACATAGTTTTACGTTTTATTTATATTTATTCTCAGTTTTTTTTTAGCGACCTGCCCTCCGTTGTCGATGTCGCGTCTTAAGGTAACCGATTGAACAATTCAAAAGTTATCTAGAGCAAACTTTTATAAGGATTGAACCATTCATTAAAACGATTGTTATGGGTAAACTATAAAAGGTAGACATATGCTCTCGCGGACTTTTTTAAAAATAATGTTAAGATAAACAATTCATCTATAGAATATTTTTGTATAACTTTAACTATATGCTCAGCGCACGCCACGGAAGGCCTCAGAAACGATACTTTTCCCCCGTTTTTAAAATATTTTTGGTTACTGCTCCACAACTATAGGATCTAGCGTGATATTATATAGCCTATGTTACTTCTGAATAATGCAGCTTTCGAATGGTGAAAAAATTATTGCAATCGGTTCAGTAGTTTTTGAGTTTATTCATTACAAACATACAAAAATACAAATCTTTCCTCTTTATAATATTAGTATAGACAAAAAAAATACGTGTTTAATATTTTTTCATTACCTAACTTACGGACTAATTAGATTTTTAATTTTCATACCCTGTCATCATACCAATTCTTAGTGCAAGAACCGTGCGAGACTTTGCCTCGTCATTTCCCTTCTTAATACCCACAACTTCCCATTCAAATACCCATGTTCTGACAGTTTTAGTATTTTTGTGCGACCCACTTAAATGTTCTTATGTTCGGTATTATTCGTCGTATCTGTCAGCCTCACCTGTTAATTGAGCTGGTTATAAACCGACACATGCGTACTGCCTTCAGAACGGGTCCGCTCAAGCTGTTGTGGTTCTTTCCTCAAAAGTCCACTACAGAATAAACTTCTTCATAATCTTTATATACACACTGACTTTAAAAGAGACGGACTTCTGAGTTTGTTTCGGTATTTCTACTCAGAACCGTCAGTTAGGAGATGTCGACCTCATCGTTCGCTTGAAAAAGTGACATGTAAAAGTGTTGCCCTGTAGCCTATTTTCAGAAATAAATTCACTGGTTTCACTTGTATTCTGTCGTCTACAGCTGTAATTCCAAGTATCCTGGGCTGGTCAGTGTTCACGCCTCTCAGTCGACTGTCCTACGGCATTTATATGATCCATACCCTTGTCGTCCAGAGGCACAAGCTCTCTCAGCGATCGCCTCATCTATTCGACATATATTGCATTGTAAGTAGTAACTGTATTTATTTATTTTGTTTAGTGGGAAAAGACTAACCTTTGTTAATACACCGTGAAATTTATTTTGTTTTTGTCTCGCGGCAAAACATCTTGCCATTAGGAGTACTTTCTATGTATAAAGTAAAAACCAAGGTGTCTTCAAGGCCCGAGTGAATAGGTTCCTTATTGGTCGACGTGCTCCATCGTAGACCGCATCATCGCTTATCACCAGGCGAGATAGTGGTCAAACGTCGCCCCATTAAATTTAAAAAAAAAAAAAAACAAAAAATTAAGATGTCACACTTGTCACACTCGAGTGGTCGCAAGTGTGACTGCCGGGCAAGGGGTCCCGGGTTCGATTCACAGGTCAAGTAAAGTATTACTGGGTTTTAAAAAAATTCTCAGTAGTAGTACAGAGTCTGGAATTGTGTCGAGTATATGGCAATAGGCTCACCCCCTATTACATGGGACTCATAACATAAATAGTGAAAAGTGGGTGTTACATTGAACAGTGGCATAATGTGCACCTCTGCCTACCCCTTCGGGGATAAAAGCGTAAGGCGTAATGTATGTATGTCTTTTTAGTTAAAAAAATCATGGAAATACGCATATGAAACACTAGACATAAATTTGTAGGCACTATTCGTATCGCACGTGCCACCCGCCGAGAAACACCTCTTCGAGAATTACATAGTGTGATGTTTTGATAATGTAATATGAGTTCATATGCGCTTACGAAGTTTGCATATTGCAATGGTTTACCATTTTTTTAAACATTTTATTTCTTTGTAAAACTATTATATTACCAAGACAGACGCATTTTACTTCGAGACAAAAACGAAATAGATGAAATCTATGTATAAAGTTAACACTAATTTCATAACTACGCCTGTTGACGGTGTACTTCTTGTCATTCTTAATTCTTAGCCAAGATTCGTCCATAACCTTTTAAGGCTATCCAAATTTCTTTTCAGCTTGTCGATTCCGCGGGGGTATTGGCCGTATCAATAGCGTTAAGTTACGCAATGTGGCTGTTTGTGGAGGCGCCACTGATCAACATCAACAACTATATCTTCTTCAACAGGTAAGATATCTTTATCTAATGCTTTATTGTTAAAGCTGAAGTGTTTCTTTGTTTGTTTGCCGCTAATATCCAGAACTGCTTGCTCGATTTAAATAATTATTTTTCTGTTGAATAGGGGATTTATCGAGGTAGGATACAGGCTATAAACTATCCCACTACGATCAATAAGAGCCAAACAAAGAGGTTGAAATAATGCGGGAGTAGCTAAGTCTAATTTTAAATTTAGAATATTCTAAACGGTTTTGTTTAGCTTGACCTGTTTGTTTGTTCATTTAAAATTGTTTGGCTAAATTTAGTAATTGAAATTTTACCCCTTCCAGATACCAGACCGATATGATATTTGGTACAGACTCTTGATACAGATAATGATATTTGGTACAGACTCTTGATAATGATATTTGGTACGGCACATACTCTTGATAACAATACACATTGAAACCGTTTAACATTTGTTTTATGTATTACTTGTATGCTATGTTAGACTAGACATTTTTTTATGGCATAAGCCGGTAAACGAGCAGTCGGATCACCTGATGGTAAGCAATCGGCGTCGCCCATGGACACCTGGAACACCAGAGGCGGTACAAGTGCGTTACCGGCCTTTTGGGGATTAGGAGTTTGAGGATCGTTGGGGATTCAGGAATTAGGGAGATTGGGGAAGGGGAGAGTAATAGGGCCTCCGGTAACCTCTCCCACACGACGAAACGCAACGCAACGCAAGCGTTGCTTCACGTCGGTTTTCTGCTCGGCCGTGATATCACTCTGGTCAAACCGGCCCATTCGTGCCGAAGTATGGCTCTCTCACACTTAGACCAACATCAGATTATATTGGTCGTTAGGACTTCCAAAGTGGATTTTAATAGAGAGCAAAATGCTAAAAAGCATATTTGACTGAAGATATTCCAGACAATCGGGGGCCAAGAGAGTTTGTAGTAATTCCAGTTGACAAAGTTTTCCCTCTTACAGATTAAAAGGAACAGAATCCGACAAAAGAAGTGGTGAGAATGGAGTTCAGCATCAGAATGGAGTTGCTAACACAAACGTTTTGTAAGTTCAACAATCTTGAGTCATAATAGACAAGCTAAGGGCCGATTTTTCAATGCTCAGTTAACTTTTAAAACAAGAATATCTTTGAAACATACATACATACATAACTTCACGCCTGTCTTCCATGGGGGTAGGCAGAGACTAGGGAACGCCAATTACTACGATTCCTACATTAATTTTACTTTCGCTTCATTAATAATCATCAATCTGTTCATGCATGCTCGTCGGTTAAGGGTAACTTAACCTTGAATATTTCTCAATTCTTTTATACTAATAACTTTCAAATAACATAAAATAACATCACGCATTTTATCCCCGACGGAGTAAGCAGAGGTGCACATTATAGTACTTAATGCCACTATACAATGTAACACCCACTTTTCACTATTCTAACATCATGGGACTCATAATAATGAGAGGGGACCTACTGTCAAATATCAATTTATTTCTACAGTTAAGAAGTAACTGAATATCGAATAATTGGTCCTTCGTTTGTTAGGGTACAATTCTAAAGATTAATTATATTTTGGGCACAGGTCAACTGGAGCACAACAGAATGAAATGCAACATCAGGATGGAATTGCTAAAACCAAAGATTTGTAAGTCAAATATATTCTGAATGAGTATTCCAGTAATATACCTCTATCATAATAATCATCATAACATCACGCCTTTTATCCTGGAGGGGTAGGCAGAGGTGCAAATAACGCCGTTGTACAATGTAACAACCACTTTTCACTGTTAATGTTGTAAGTCCCATGCAGGAAGGGGTGAGCCTATTGCCATCAATAGGCTCAGTGTATGGATACTGGACACAATTCCAGACTCCGTGCTACTACTGATATTTTTTTTAAAACCCAGTAATACTTGGCCCGATCCGGGAATCGAACCTGAGACCCCTTGCGGGGAGGCACACTTGCGACAACTCGGCCAACGAGGCGAGATAAAAACCCCAAAATATATAAATGGAAATAAAAAAAAACTAATTGATTAATTATTATTTCTATTGTAAACAGGTTAAATGACATACAACCAGAGAGAGGTCACGGAGAGAATGGTATCCACCACCATAATGGAGTTCCTAAAACCGACATTTCGTGATACACGTAGTTAAGTTTCAGTTTTAAATAATATTGTTAACTAATTTTAATTTAGTTGTAACTTTGAAAATAAATGATGAATGTCTTAAAATCCTTACTAATATTATAAATCTGAAAGTGAGTTTGTTTGTTTGTTTGTTCCACCTTCACGCCGTAATTACTCAACCGATTGCTTTGAACTTTTGCAGAAGTAAAGATAGAAATCCAGATTAAATAATAGGGTACTTTTTATCCCGGAAAAATTGATATTCCCGAGGGAAAACAAAAGTATTGGTATAGATGGCGCTGTATGCATTGGTATATGTCACATAGGCTACTTTTTATCCTTTTGTGACGCGTGCGAAGCCGCGGGTAAAAGCTAGTATTATATAAGTGTGGGAGAGCCATGCTCCGGCACGAATAGGCCGGCTCGACCGGAGTGATACCACGTCCTTACAGAAAACCGACGTGAATCAACGCTTGCGTTGTGTTTCGTCGTGTGAGTGAGGTTACCGGAGGCGCAATTACCTTCCTCTCCCAATATTCCCAATCCCTGAACCACCAACAATCAAATCTCAAATTCCTAATCCTCAAAATGCCGGTAACGCACTAGAAACGCTTCTGGTGTTCCGCGTCGTCCATGGGCGACGCCGATTGCTTACCATCAGGTAATCCGTCTACTCGTTTACCGGCTTATCGCATGAAAAATATCCAGTGAATAAGACTGATTGGAATAGGTTCATATGCTGCCCACTGTAGTTTTTTGTATTTGAATATTTTTGACTCAGAATTTAGAATGGTACAGAGTATATTGGAATACTTAGACTTTTTTTTAAAGGGGGAAAATCATCGAATGAGTGATGTTGCAATAAACTTGCAATGTAACAATGATCTAAGAATGTTACTGTATTCTATATTTGTACTTTATTTTATATATTGTTGTTATTTTCCATAGTTTTTGATAACCAAATTATATTCAACGTTGAACTTTAAAAATGTTTAATTATATGCAATTAAATTTTTTAATTGTCAACACAAGAATATACATACTTAATATTTTTTTATTATTTGTTAGAATAAAATCTGTGGGCGAACACCCGAGGTCGGATTTTTTTTACAAAGTCATATATTATATATACCATCTTATTGCATTAATACATATATATATATATCCATGCCGGTTTCGGCAACGGTGATTAAGCTTCTACTTCTTTTTATAATTCAAGAGCTTTGGTGTTTAGCTCGCATGTGGCTGATGTAACCTATTTTTACTAAGTTTTCTTACAAAAAGGATATGTTAAAATGTCATTAGCAAAATTATTGTGCAATATATTGGCAGACGGTTCATTTTTAATCTGATTTTCTTTTTTTTTTATGGCACATGCCGAGCGGTAAACGAGCAGGCGGATCTTAATGATCTCTGATGGTAAGCAATCGGCGTCGCCTATGGACACCTGAAACACCAGAAGCGTTACAAGTGCGGAACAGGCCTTTTGGGGATTAGGAGTTTGAAGATTGTTGGGGATTCGGGGTTTGGGGAGATTGGGGAAGGGAGCTGGGCCTCCGGTAACCTCACTCACACGACAAAACACAACGCAAGCGTTGCTTCACGTCGGTTTTCTGTGAGGCTGTGATATCACTCCGGTCGAGCCGGCCCATTCGTGCCAAAGCATGGCTCTCCCACACTGATTTTTTTCTTTTATTCTTGTTTTTATTTATTTTTTTAACAAAAGTACAATTTTAGGATTAGTTAACATTTTGTTCTTATAATTAAAGATCCTCGCCAAACATATCGTTTTACGGCAAGCAGCACTCATTTCTTATTCTTACTAGCTAATTAAGTACTTTATATAACATTAAAAGAAAACTGAAATCAAATCAAAAACAAAAAATTACACATTATAAATGATAGAAATTAAAGAATGCATTGCCTATGCTCTCTTAAGCAATTCTCCCTTTAGCCTCTTCTTCGACATAAACAAACTCACTTTATTTTGATATCGCTTTTCATCAAGTTCTCAATGTTTTGCCTCAAGACGATATGCGCTTTCCTGTAGTAGGTGCCTCCACCCAGGACGGTCTGAGGTCAAAGACTTACAACGAGAAGGTTAGATACCACATTTTTTTCATGTCTTTTCTGAACGTCCTTGAAACTTAAGAACTGGTCGCCACTATTCTGCATAAACGAGTTAGGGGCAACTTCTAACCTATTAAGGTAATCCATCAGTACTATTAATAGTTACTTTTTGCCTTTTAGTTCTTTTTAGTTTTTTAAACGAGTTTTTTTTATATTATACTATTTTTTATTATACATGTGCAATTGTACCTATCGTAGAATTCAAAGGTGTAACATTATACTATGTTTTAAACCCTAGAAAAATTGGTTTTATTGTTTAGGTAACTTAATGGTTTTCTTCTTTCCACTGTCACACCTTCATTGTTACTTTATTGAACCTAACGGGTTGCCGGGGCTCCGGCTCGACGTGCAGGAGAAGGAACGGGGTGCTTTTTAGTCAGTAAGAGTCTGACACTCCCTTCCGCCTCACCCAGGTGGGAGCAGTCAATCGATGATTTTCTCCCCAAAAAATGTCTTTTTATATTTTATTTACGCTGCATCGTGCCTGCAGCTGTAGCCAAATGCCATTTAGCGCTTGTCTACATGTAGAATAGAAAACCAAATTATATGAAATTGACGTAAATTTTGACACTTGTCAGTGTCATCCCCATACATTTAGTTTTCTACTTTCTCTGTAGACAAGCGCTAAAGTGGCGTTTGACTGCTGAATAAATGTTTTTTCTTTCTTTCTTTCTTTTTTGTTTCTTAGGTACATAACCATTGGGCTCGCTGTCATTGCAGCGGTAAGTCCCCTCTTTGAGGAGTGGCTTGAGAGACGCTACGGCGTCCTCACCTTCCGCCTGACGCAGGTGCTTACCGGACACGGAAGTTTCGGTAGGTTCCTGTTTCGGATTGGGCGGGAGGAAACGCCCGGGTGTCATCACTGCGAGGATCGCCCGGAGGACACGGTGGAGCATACGGTGGCGGTGTGTCCTGCGTGGACTGAGCACCGCCGTGTCCTCAGGAATGTGATCGGCGACGGCGACCTCTCGCGTCCGGCTCTGGTTCAGACCATGGTACGGAGCGAGGGGGACTGGGATGCCGTCTCCTCCTTCTGCGAAGCAGTCATGCTAGCCAAGGAGGAGGCGGAGCGCGTGAGGGAACAAACCTCCTCACGACCCGGCCGTCGCGAGAGACACTCCGGGCGTCGGGGATCGCGAGACGATCTCCGGCCACCGTAAGCACGGGCCTGCGGACGGCGAGCATGGGTGACTCGCCGCCCAACCAGAACCAGGCCCGAGCGAACGGCGCGTCGCGTTCCGCGCGCGCCTCAAGGAGCCATCAGACCACCACAGATGGGGCCTAACAAGGCTGATGCCGATACGGAGCCGCGGAAGACTTAACGGGTTGCCGGGGCTCCGGTTCGAAGAGCAGGAGTAGGAACGGGGTGGTTTTTAGTCAGTAAGAATCTGACACTCCCTTCCGCCTCGCTCAGGCGGGAGAAGTCATTGGATGATTTTCCCCCCTCAAAAAAAAAAAGGTACATAACCATATATCATACAAGGATTGCCTACAAATTAAAGCAATAATTTTACTATAGGTAAGCGTGCACCTAATATCGTCAGGAAAAAGTTTAATAGAACATTTTTTTTTAATTCATTGGAGTGATTTGACCCTTAATTTGAAGCGAAGTAATAACAAAATTAATGTAATGAATGACTAACGTCTCAAATGTACATTAATAAATATTCTATGTTACGAATTGGAAGACACGTGACGACTGGGTAATAAAAATTGTACCTTTGACATTTAAGTATTTATTTTTAAAACTCGTGTGTATAATAATAACTGTAAGTTATTCAATACTAT